CTGTGAGGCCAAATATCGCAAACTTTGTAGGATAAGTGACACCCTTTATTAGCTCACAGTTCTGTAGCCAATACAGAAGTCCGGCACGGCAGAGTTGAGCTCTCTGCTCGGGGAATCGCAAGGCTGGAACGAGGCTGAGCCTCGCCTGGACACTGAAGAAAACTCTTCCAAGTTCATTCAAGATGGTGACAGAATTCGGCTCCCATAATTACTGGACCGAGGTCCCCATTTCCTTGCTGTCAGCCAGGAGGCTCTCTCAGTTCTTTAAGGCACCACATTCCTTCTCAGATGGTCCCTCCATTTGCAAGTTGGGGAAGGTGTGTCAAATGTCCCCTTGCCTGCAGCCAGCTGAAGAAAACTTTCCGCGAAGAAGAGCCTTCCCTGATTAGGTCAGGCCCACCCAGATGATCTCTTTATCATGATCTTAAGATCAACTGACTTGGGACTTTAATCACACATGCAAAATCCTTCACAGCAGTGCTTAGAGTAGTGTGTAATGAATCCCAGGGGACAGGAATCTTGGGGGGCCATATTTATTGTTTAATGTTTACTTTTGACACACACAGAGAGCATGCATGAGTGGGGAGAGGGGTAGGGGCAAAGAAAGAGGGAAACAGAGGATCCGAAGTGGGCTCCACGCTGACAGCAGAGAGCCCCATGCAGGGCTCGAACCCACGAAGTGTGAGATCATGACCTGAGCCGAAGTCGGATGCTTCACCGACTGAGCCACCCAGGCTCACCATTCCATCTTTAGAATTCTGCGAACTAAGGGACGCCTGGGTGGCTCAGTCGGTGAAGCATCTGACTTCGGCTCAGGTCACGATCTCACAGCTCATGAGTTCAAGCCCCGCGTCCGGCTCTGTGCTGACAGCTCAGAGCCTGGAGCCTGCTTTGGATTCTGTGTCTCTGTCTCTCTGTCCCTCCCCCCACTCTCATGCTGCCTCTCTCTGTCTCTCAAAAATAAATAAATGTTAAAGAATTCTGCCAACTATATCCTATAAGACCTGCTCAAATTAATCTGTACTCAGCAGAGCTAGAAGGTGCACAAATGGGTTATACTTGACCCCATGATTTCGGGGACTCCTTTAACAACACCCCTCTCTCCGCCCTGGGCTCAGTCAGATTTTCCCAGCTCCATGACTACACTTAGGCCATATCTTGTCCAAAGTCAGCCTGTCCGCACCCCCAACCCCCCGCCCTATCCCCCATTCACCCTGGCCTCCCCCTGACTCCCATCGCCGACCCGCTGCCCCAAGCCGGACAGCTGTTGACCGCCCCTGAGGACCCTTCTCCTCACGGCCAAGTACACTGTGCTGTTCCCCACTAACTTAGTCAGCTCAGGCCGCGAGAACAAAATACCACAGACTGAGTGGCTTACAGAACAGAAATTAATTTTGTCACAGTTCTGGAGGCTGGGCATCCAAGATCCAGGCAATGGCCAGTTTGGTTTCTCCTGAGGCCTCTCTCCATGGCTTGCTTGCAGATGGCCATTTTCTCACTGTGCCCTCACCGGGCCTTTCCTCTGTGCTCATGCATTTCTGGTGTCTCTTTCTCTTCTTACAGAGGACACTAGTCCTACTGGATCAGGACCCTCATTGGCCTCATTTTACCTCAGTTACTTCTTTAAAGGTCCTGTCTCCAAATACGGTCACATTCTGAGGTCTGGGGGTTAAGGCTTCAATAATGAATCTGAGGGGGACATAATTCAGCTTCTAATACCCCCCATCTCTTCCCGTCAAGTGCCTCCTTATTTGGGGGAGTCGGTTCACAGGCCGCCTCCTCCGTGAAGCCACCTGGGTACTCCCACTTGGAGTTTGCTTCTCCCTCCCTGGGCCCCTCAACACCAAGCTGGTACCTCTGCCCTCACCGGGTCCATTTCCCACCGCACTGTGGGTCCCATGACAGGTTCCGCGGCCAACGAGCTGCTGCGTCCTGGGAATGGTCCCGAACGAAGATCCCGAACTAAGACGCTAGGGTGCAGAGAACCGAGAGACCGTTCAGAGGTCACATAAATAGGAAGCGACAAGCTGGCGATTTGATCCCAGCTGTGTGACACCAGATCCCACGCTCCCCAGACCACGCTCCGCTGCCTCTCACGCGGTAGCCGCATTCCTAGGGCAGGAGGGTGGCGACTCGCCCCTCAAGTCGGCCCTCCCCTGGGGCTGACCCCAGAGCAGAAAACCCCCATTCTGGGTTCTGACAGTTTTATCAAGAGGCTGAGCAGACCTGTCTCCTGAAGGTCTGGAACAGCCAGCCTGGGCTGCTCGGAGCCGTCCCTCGCACTGCGTGCTTCCCAGCTAGAGGGAGGCCACGGCCGCCAGCCGGTGCCTGGAAAGGCACTCGTCTTCAGACAGGGAGGACACACTGGGATCTGGGATCCGGAGAAGCTGGGGTGACAGGGATCCAGGGGAAAGCTTAATGAGGTTACTCATTTATTGAGTTTCTAGTGTGCCAGGCACTGCTCTAAATGCACTGTGTGTGTGTGTGTGTGTGTGTGCGTGCGTGAGAGAGAGAAATGTGTATATTCTTCACAGCAACGCTTCAAGGCCTGCACGATGATTATCCCCACCTTGTAAATGACGACACTGAGGAAGAGAAGGACAAGTAACTCGCCAAGCTCACACAGCTGGTGGGTGTCACGGGCAGGATTCGAACTCAGGCAGTCTGCCTTGTAATCATTCCTGAAACTTGCCCCAATCTGCCACTGCGTGCCAGCTCTGCAGGGAGACCATGAACTTCCGGCCAATCCCGCTTGGAGGGAGGGGCTGACGGAGGAGCAGCGCCCCCCCCCCCCGCGGAAGGAGGGACTGGCCCCTGAAAACAACAGCCTGCCCTCTCCACCCTCCCCGCGAGGCCCCTCCCCCTTGTGACGAAGATCAATTAATCAGCACAGACATTCAACCTCCGTGTATTTATTTATTTCCAGCCTCATTCCCCGGATGGTTTGAGAAAGCCGTGCAGTGTGGCCACCAAAGATGCTCTGATAAAACGTGCCTTGATGGCCTTGTAATTGACACCTTGATGATGTGGCACTGTGGGATCATTACACATAGGGTGACCAGCTTGTGACGGTGTTCTTGGAGGCTCCCAGCTTTAAAACTGAAAGTTCTTGGGGTGCCTGGGTGACTCAGTCGGGTAAGCGTCTGCCTTCAACTCAGCTCATGATCTTGTGGTTCGTGAGGTTGAGCCCTGTACCGGGCTGTCTGCTGTCAGCACAGAGCCTGCTTCAGATCCTCTGTCCCCCTCTCTCTCTGCCCTTCCCCCCTTGTGTGCACACTCTCTCTCTCTCTCAAAAATAAAGAAACATTTTTTAAAACAGTAAATAAAACACCCAAAAATAAATAAACGTTGAAAAAAAAATTTAAAAAAAAAAAGGTAAATAAAATAAAACTGAAAGTCCTTTATTCTGGGAACCTCTCAAAGACAGACCCTCATTACGCAGGACGCAGCGCACAAAGTCTCCTTGCTAGACTATGGATGTAGCTCGGAGCTTCCTAACAGCCAAGGCAAAGAGGGAAACGTGCCCTGTTATGAGATTTTCAGTGTCAGTAGCAGTGCAAAAGAACTTTCCACAAGGATGTGTCCAGTATGTTTCTACGGAGCACTCAAAATGTGGCTCGTGTGATGGAGTAACTGGATTTTTAATTTTACTTCATTTCGCTCCATTTAAACATAAGTAAGAATCCCCTATGGCTAGTGGTGACTACATTGAAAAGCACGGTGTATTAGATAAGAACAAACCAGAGGCTCAGGAAAAGCCTGGGGAGCAGGCAGAGGGGTAGAAAAGGACAGGGGAAGCCAAAAGAGGGAGTGGATGTAAGAGAAGGGGTCCCCAGATGCCCCTCTCTCTGCCCCCAGGTTAGTGCAGCATGACTCACACTGACTCAGTGGAAAAAGTGAGCAGTGCCTGGATCGCTCCCTGGCACCAGAGGGCATCCAGAAAAGGAAGACCTTTTCTGCCAGGTAACAGAATGCACCTGCACGGCCTTAGACCCAGAGCCTGGGCAAAAGGCTTCCTTCATGTGTGCTCTGGATGGTCCCCCTGACACCCCTCACCTTCCTGGTCTAAATGTCAGGATCTCCGAAGCCTGCTAAGCACCTTGGGTTCTGGAAGGCCCAGAAGAGGGAGGCATGACACCCCCTCCCACCCCACCCCCTCACCCTGCTCCAGTCTGTCTGTGACTGGGAAGCTGATGACTCCAGGGTCAGAAATAACCCCACAGTCAGCGCGCCGCGTGCTACCCCTCCCTTTCCCCTCCGTTCCCAGAAAGTCTGGGCCCTGAGTCAGAGGGAAGAGCCCAAAAGTAAACAAGGACCCAGATAATCTGCTATGAAAACCACAGAACCATCCCGCGGAATTCTTTGATAATTCAGGGACTTAGGGAAGAGTCGAAGCCTGGAAATTCAGACGTCTTTCCCCCAATCCAGCTGCACTCCGGACTGTGTAGACGGGTGCTGTGGGGCAAGAAAAGGAAGGAGAAGAGAGAGGAGATCCTTGGCACCGAGGGAATGGGGGAGAAGGAGAGCTGGGCTGACCCTTAGAAGTGTCCAGGCCAGGAGCAGAGGAGGAGAGGGCACAGGCCTGCCCGCAGGAGGCCTCCAGTCCCCTGCACAGTGGACACACACACATCAGCAATGGTCAGAGGCCAGTGTGGAGCAGGGGTTGCGGGGGCAGCACATGGGATTAGGGGCCGTCCAGGTGTCAGATGCCCCTCTTTATTCATTCCCTCAAAATAGTCTGGGACACCTGCACCCCACCCCAGAGCTGAGTCACTGACCCCAGTCCTCAGATGCAATTTGAATGAATGAAGCTGTCCCTACTCTTCCTCCCCTCCCGGCAGAAAGGACATGTAACTGATCCCCTGGGATGGAAGGGGAACTTCCACAAGCCCTAAAAATAACTAAGCCACTTCATACTCTGAACTTAGCCTCTCCACCCCCCCGCCCCCGCCCCCACCTGGCCCACCCCAGCGCCAGCAAGATAAAGGCAGCGGCTAGGGCTGGCAGAGGACAGAGACCCGAGCCAGGGCAGTGAGACGGCATCGAAGGAGGCCAGCAGAACAGGACCGGCCGTGAACAAGAAGCCGGACGGGAAAGACAGACCCCCCCCAGCACCCCCTCAGCCAAGTGGGATCTTCAGGTGAGTCTTTACCCTGTCTTTCCATGGCAGGCTGACTCTCTGGGCTGGGATCCCCTCTGGGATGGCTCTCAGGGTAATGTATATCAGGGGTAGCTCTGGGCAGAGGAAGGAGGTCGTAGGTGAATTGGGGGGGGGGGTCCTGATATAAAGATTCCATGAGGAAATTAAAGGAGAATTAGCATGAGCCCCATGGCCCGTCTCAGAGTGGCTGCCACAGGCCTGAGTCCCACAGAAGAGACAGGTTCTTACCAGTCTGGCATAATCCAGAAAGGCTTTCAGGAGGAGGTGGCCTGGAGTTGCGATTTTTAAAACACAGGTATGGAGCTCCTCAGGCTTCAGGGTTTCCTCTCAGGGGAGCCCCAGGCAGGCCCAAAGTCTGGAGGAAAGAGGGACCCAAGAGAGGTGAGAGGACACGGGGGCTGGAAGGTAGGAAGTAGGCCCAATCCCGCCTAGTGAGGACAAACCCCGTGCCCAGCTGTTGTGGGCGAAAGTCTTGGCATATCTGGCACCAGAATATCTTCCCAGGGCTGGCCTGAGCCCAGCTCCCCACATATCATGGCCTAAAGCCTGGGGTGGGAGGCCGACTTTGCCCCAGGCCATGGTCTTGCCCAGTAGGAAAGCCCTTGGGGCAGATCTGGGGACACAAGGGGGGGGGAGACCAAATCTGAGTCTTCCCAGATGTTGAGGCCTGTGGAGGCGGCTGAGTCAAGGACAAGCAGACCTGAGAGAAAAGGTGGGGTCACCCTGAGAGGCTGGCCCAGCCCTAGGAGGCCAGGCTCTGGGGTTCAGGTCTGACCCTAAGTCTGATAGTCCGGTTCTGATTCCATCCGCACCCCATGCCTGTCCCTGCCCTTTAGAAACTTAAGCCCCAGGAGTTTCAGTCCAGGCAGGGGCAGGGGTGAAAGGGCCAGGGGTCAGAAAACCTGCTTCAGATCTTGCCTTATGGAGCCCCTTGGAACAGCTCCTTCCTGTCTTTGGGCCTCAGTTTACCCAGCTAAACAATGAGGGGGTTAGGTTCCTTGACCTCTGAGTGTCCCTAGTTCTGACATCCCTGGACTGATGATTCTAACAATTTGTAACCATAGCAGAGATTCTGCAGATTCCTGGGGTCGGCGGTGGGGCGGAATTGGTGACCCATACGTGCCATCTGCTCAGGCCGCACTGGTAGTGACAGGACAGGGAGGCATGGGTGGCCTTCTTTTCCCATCAGAACTCAGAAACAAAAGGAACCACCCGGAGCGTGCCCTGAGACTCCGGCTACAGGTTTTGTTCGACGTTTCCCTCCTCGGGGCTCTGATGTCTGGTGGGCCTGCCGGATGGCTACCTCAGGAGGAGGGTGACAGGCAGGTCTCAGGCCACCACGTCTTCTGAGGCAGCCACGAAGAGGATGTCCTGCCCCCCACCCCCTGCCTGTATCCTTGCCCCTCCCCCCACCCCCAGGCCCCAGCCCTGGTCACCCTGCAGGCCAGGGGCCTGATATCCGCTCAGGAGGAGGGGGCAGGATCAGGGAGCCCCGGGCAGAGAAGATGAGGTGGGTGACGGAGCCCAGGGGCCCAGTGGCGAGCCTGAGCCTCCCGCCAGAGCCCAGGGCCATGCCGAGGCCAGGACCTCCGCTATATTTAGCACGAGCGTGGAGCTGAGCAGTGGGTCAGGGGCAGCGGGAGGGGGGACGTGCTTCTCATTCTTTCCCTACTGGCCTCTGAGGACTGTCAGTACACCTGTCACAAGACAGATAAGACACACAGAGGACAGAGACCAGAGAAGGGCTGGAGGGGTGGGAGGCCGTGGGGAGGGGGGCGGCGCTAGGGGGAAACAGCGCCTTGGGGGAAGCTGACTGATGTGAAAGGGGGAGAAAGAGAAGTACAGGAGTTTGGGGCCGGCTGTGTGCAGCTGGGGAAGAGTCTGCGTGAGCAAGGGCAGGCTGTCTCCGCAGTAAGCCCTCAGTCCGCTGCCCTCCCTCCCTGTGGGTGTCACCCCCATGCTCTCCTAGGGGTGCCTGTGGGGGAACAGAGGGACCACAGCCAGGAAGACAGCTTCGCGCCCCCTCCCCTCCTATTTCTTGGGAGCTAGGCCCCCAAAAGGGTCTAGGAGCACCGACCTCATTAGCAAAGCTCTGACTGTCTCTATGCCTCAGTTTCCTCGTCTTTAATTGTGAGTGGCTGGGCTAGAAGACCCTCGAGATTGAGGTCCCCCTAAGCTCAGACCTTCTGAGTCTCGGGGTATGGCACACAAAGCCCTTACCTGGGATTCAGGATCTGGCCCTGCGGAACCGTGAGGTATCTGGTGAACACCTGCTCCTCCCGCCGCGCCCCCCCCCCCCGCCGCTTCTGCTGTAGCACAGGCCCCAGGCCCCAGGCGGGGCCTGGAAGGGCCGGAGAGTGAATGGACAGCCAAGAGGTTAAAGGCTGGGCAGGGCTCCCATGAGAGTGGCGACTGCGCCCTCTGGTGTTGCGAAAGGGAATTTCTCCTCCCTGGGAAGGAGTCCGCAGTTTAGGGACCTGCCTGCCTCTCCCGGACTGGGACCCTTTGGGTCAGGATTCACCTGGCAGCTCACGCGGGAAAACCGGACTAGGGTAAAGGAAGGCGAGGAGGGGGCGTGTCCAGTTTGCATCCCTTACAGGGCTACAGGACAAGAGTTTCATGGCCACTAGGGCCCCGCCTGCTTCCTAGCAACCCGGGTAATTCTGGGAAAGCAGAAGCTTTGCCCGAAGTTCAAGCCTTGTCACACGCCAGCCGTGCAGGGGGTGGGGCGATACCCCGGTGAGGTCTGGAGAGGAGGGGGGGTCCCTAAACACAGGTCAACGCAGGACTGCTCTGCCCCTTGGCCCCGCCCACTGTGACTTCTCCCAGCTCCCGGCCCTTTCCTCATCTCTGCCCCTTCTCCTCCGAAGGATGGTCAAAGCCCAGACGCAGGCAGCCCCCACGCCGGCCACTCCGATGGCAGCTGCAGAAGACCTGCCCCTCCCCGCACCCCCAGGCCTGGAGGATCTGCCGCCACCGCCCCCCAAGGAGTCCTTCTCCAAGTTCCACCAGCAGAGGCAAGCCAGCGAGCTCCGCCGCCTGTACAGGCACATCCACCCTGAGCTCCGCAAGAATCTGGCCGAGGCTGTGGCTGAGGACCTGGCCGAGGTCCTGGACTCTGAGGAGCCCACCGAGGGTGATGTCCAGTGTATGCGCTGGATCTTCGAGAACTGGCGGCTGGATGCCATCGGGGACCGTGAGAGGCCGCCTGCCAGGGAGCCCGTGTCGGGCGGGGACGTCCAGGGTACCTCCCGCAAATTTGAGGAAGGCTCCTTTGCCAACAGCACAGACCAGGAGCCTGCAGGACCCCCGCCATCCGGAGGGGACGTTCGTGCAGCCCGCCGGCTGTTTGAGACAAAACCGCTGGATGAGCTGACCGGCCAGGCCGAGGCGCTGGAGGCCCCGGTGAGGGAGCCCGAAGCCAGCGGGGATGTCCAGGGTACCAGGATGCTCTTTGAGACGCGGCCGCTGGACCGCCTGGGCTCCCGCCCCTCCATCCAGGAGCAGAGCCCCCTGGAGCTGCGCTCAGAGATCCAGGAGCTGAAGGGCGACGTGAAAAAGACAGTGAAGCTGTTCCAGACAGAGCCACTGTGTGCCATCCAGGACGCAGAGGGTGCCATCCACGAGGTCAAGGCTGCGTGCCGGGAGGAGATCCAAAGCAACGCGGTGAGGTCTGCCCGCTGGCTCTTCGAAACGCAGCCTCTGGACGCCATCAACAGGGACCCCAGCCAGGTGCGGGTAATCCGGGGGATCTCCCTAGAGGAGGGGGCCCGGCCTGACGTCAGCGCAACCCGCTGGATCTTTGAGACACAACCCCTGGACGCCATTCGGGAGATCTTGGTGGACGAGAAAGACTTCCAGGCATCCCCAGACCTTATGCCTCCTGGTCCAGACGTCCAGCAACAGAAGCATTTGTTTGAGACCCGAGCATTAGACACTCTCAAGGGGGACGAGGAGTCTGGGGCACAGCTCCCACCCAAAGAGGAAGTAGTCCCTGGCGATGTCCGCTCTACCCTGTGGCTATTTGAGATGAAGCCCCTGGACACTCCTAGAAACAAGGTCCAAGTGGGTCACCTGCAGCGAGTGGGTTCCCGGGAGCAGGAAGGGCTCACGTCTGAGCATCTATACAGTGATGGCTCCTCAGCTCTGTCCCTCTCTCAGAGTGCTCCCCAGAGGGATGGCGTGAAGGGGGACGTGAAGGCCTTCAAGAACCTTTTTGAGACCCTTCCCCTGGACAGCATTGGGCAAGGTGAGCCTTCGGCCCATAGGAATGTGAGCAGAGCCGAAGGAAAGGATTCTGCTGGGCAGTCCCAGGACATAGGGTCCCCGGTGTATGCCATGCAGGATGGCAAAGGCCACCTCCATGCCCTGACCTCTGTCAGCAGAGAGCAGATAGTTGGAGGCGACGTGCAGGGCTACAGGTGGATGTTTGAGACACAGCCCCTGGACCAGCTAGGCAGAAGCCCCAGTACCGTGGACGTGGTGCGGGGTATCACCCGGCAGGAAGTGGTGGCCGGAGATGTAGGCACGGCCCGGTGGCTCTTTGAGACCCAGCCCCTGGAGGTCATCCACCAGCGGGAACGGGAAGAACGCCAGGAAGAAGAAGGAAAGAGTCAGGAAGGTCCCCAGCCTGAGGCACTCCCAAAAGGTGATGTGCGGACCATCCGGTGGTTGTTTGAGACCTGCCCGATGAGTGAGTTGGCAGAGAGGCAGGGGTCAGAGGTCACATACCCCACAACGGAGGCCGAGGCTCGGTCCTGCACCTGGATGTTTGCACCCCAACCCCTGGACAGGCCAGAAGGCTCGAGGGAGCGGCACCTGCAGGTCAGCCAGATGCAGGCTGGGGCCAGACAGACAGAAGGGCATGTCTTTGAAACGGAGCCTCTGCAGGCCTCGGGCCGTCCCTGTGGAAGAGGGCCTGTGCGCTACTGCAGCCGCGTGGAGATCCCTTCGGGGCAAGTGTCTCGGCAGAAGGAGGTCTTCCAGGCCCTGGAGGCAGGCAAGGGGGAAGACCAGGGGCCCAGAGTACTCCCCGAACCCATCCCTGTGGGCTCTGTGCACAAGTTCACCTGGCTCTTTGAGAACTGTCCCATGGGCTCCCTGGCGGCCGAGAGCGTCCGAGGGGGCAACCTCCAGGAGGAGCAGCCCACGGGCCCCTCAGGCAACAAGGCGCTGGAGAGGCAGGAGACTGCGGCTGAGGGCACCCTGAAGGCTTTGCACACTGTGCCTGGCATCCTGCACCATGGAGGCATCCTCATGGAGGCCCGGGGGCCAGGGGAGCTCTGCCTGGCCAGGTACGTGCTCCCAGGCCCAGGGCAGGGGGCACCCCACGTCCGGAAGGAGGAGCTGGTGTCTGGCGAGCTTCCCAGGATTGTGCGCCAGGTGCTGCGCCGGCCAGATGTGGACCAGCAGGGGCTGCTCGTTCAGGAGGACCCGGCGGGCCAGCTCCATCTGAAGCCACTGAGGCTGCCAGCTCCGGGCGGCGGCGGGGATGTCGATGACGTGGATCCCGAGTTCCAGCAGCTGCTGGCTTGTGGCCTGGGGGCCTCAGTCGCGAGGACCGGGCTGGTGATGCAGGAGACTGAGCAGGGGCTGGTCTCACTGACCGCCTACTCCCTGCAGCCCCGGCTGACCGGCAGGGCCCCTGAGAGGGGCAGCGTGCAGCTGCTGGCCAGCTGCATCGACAAAGGAGACCTAAGCGGCCTGCACAGTCTGCGGTGGGAACCACCAGCTGATCCAGGTTCCGTGCCCACCAGCGAGGGGGCCCAGAAGCTGCGCCCAGCTGAGAACATCATCCATGTGCCCCCTCTGGACCCCAGCATGGCGATGGGGCATCTGAGAGGCCCGGGGAAGGCGGTCCCTCTGGCTGGGGAAGGGAAGCGGGAAGATAGCCGCCCTGGACACAAAGGGATAGCAGCTGCGGGAGAGTCGGAAGGAACCACAGCTAGGCCCCTGGGGCCTGGGGCCCCAGACCTCCGGGCCGCCATGCAAAATCTGCGGGTGGCCACCGCCGAGGCCCAAAGCCTGCACCAGCACGTTCTGAGCAAGCACAAGGAGGCCTCCACCCCTGGAGCCACCTCCGCACCCTGTCAGGATGGTCAGCGGCAGGCATCGGCTGCGGCCACCGTGGCTGCCCAGAGCACCGCTGGGCCTATGGCTGGAGGTGACCCCAGGATCCCAGCAGCCCCCAGAAAGGTCAGTGGGGAACAGGAAGCACTGCCCGGAGGGCTGCCGGGGGGGTGGGTGACTATTCAGGATGGCGTCTACACTGCTCACCCCGTGAGGACCTTTGACCCATCAAGGGGTGTCCAGCCTTCCGAAAGAGAGCTCCCACAGAGGGGCGGGGACGCTGCCCCCTCGGCCCAGGCTCCAAGCCCACTCCAGGAAGGGCCAAGGCAGAGTCGGGGGCCTGGGTGGGAGGAGCCTGGGGGCTGCACACAGACGGCCTGGGGATCTCCAGAAAAGGCAATGGCAAGAGTCGGCCCAGGAGGCCTCCAAGCTGCAAAGGTTGCCTCTTCAGCCCACCACACTCTGGCCTCTGGGCCTCGGCCTGCAGGTGCCAGCCTGCACTCCCATAATGCCTCTGTTCCTCCTCCTCCTCCTCTCTCAGCTGCTGTGACAGGACCCGACTTCGCAGCCCAAGCCCGCCGCGATGAGGACTGTATCCGGCAGGACTCCGAGGCCCTGAGGGCCCCCCTTCTTCACTCCCACAGCAGCCCTGCCAGCCAGAGAAGCCCTGGGGACGCACAGACAAAGACCCCAAACCCGGAGCCCAAAATGCCCCCGAGGAAGAAACCTCAGCTGCCTCCCAAACCTGCACACCTAAGCCAGATCCCCCCTCCCCAGTGGCTGCCCAAGCCCCCAGCTCTGTCTCCCAGCTCCTCCAGAGAAGCCGGGCAAGGAGACTACAAGCCAGGGGAGAGAGACGCAGCCATCGGCGGGCCAGCCCACGTCCCCACCACCGCCAGCCAGGGATGCACGCCTCCGGCTGGATGCTCCAGAGAACAGAGCTGGCCCAGCCCCCAACATGGCCCCGGCGCCACGGCTTCCAGATCCACCAAGAGCCAGGCTGCAGGCAGCAACGCCCAGAGCGCTGAGCCCCGCAAGCTCTCAGCTCTCCACGGTCACCCCACCTCACCGCTGCAGGGTCCCAGCCCCCCAGGAGAGAGGCCCGAGGCAGATTCCCAGCAAGGGGCCTCTGAGAACGCGGGGCTTCTGCAGGGAAGCCAGCAAGAGCTCCAGGGTCTCCTGAGCCAGGTGCAAGCCCTGGAGAAGGAGGCGGCGAGCAGTGTGGACGTGCGGGCGCTGAGGAGGCTCTTTGAAACTGTGCCCCAGCTGGGAGTGGCTCCTCAGGCTCGTGCTGCCCCCCAAAAGCCTGAGGCCTCAGTGGTGCAGGCCTTTGGGGAACTGACAAAGGTCGGCACAGAGGTGGCCCGGCTGAGGGAACAGACCCTGGCCAGGCTGCTGGACATTGAGGAGGCTATACACAAGGCCCTGAGCTCCATGTCTGGCCTCCAGCCTGAGACAAACACCAAGGGCCAGTCCCAAGGACCCCTGAAGGACCACGGTGCCCGCAAGATCGGTAACACGGACAGGAGGAAAGCCGGACCTAACTGCTCAGGCCGGGAGGTCAGAGGGCAGACTGCAGTCAAGAACCAAACCCAGGATGCATGCCCAAACCCAGATGCTCTGGACTCTGAGGTCCAGAGTCAGGCCAAGGTCAGAAATCACGCAGAGGCCGGGGGTCAATCAGCCCCAATGGTTCCTTCCACCAGGAGGCCAGAGACATTGAGAGAAGACTCGGGCCTCCCTGGGGTCTTCCCTTCCAGCCGAGATTCATCTTGCTCCCCGACCTTCATCTCCATTGAGTCAGCCACAAGGAAGCTTCCAGAGGCTCCCAGCCCCAGGGGCACTCACCTGGCACAGGATGTGGGCCAGGCCCAGCTCCACCAGAAGGGTTTCCAAGACAAGGCTGGAAAGAAGGAGGTCACCCCATGCTCTGGGCAGCCAGAGCCCACCCCTGCCTCCTTAGGAAGCCCCCTGCCCGCTGGGCAGAGAAGCATTGTGGAGCTGCAGACTGGACCGGGCGGCCCCCAGTGCTATGGAGTCACAAGAACAGCTACCCAGCAGTACGAAGGGGTGGACCAGTGCAGGAACCCAGCCCTCCAGCCCTCCACCAGGGTCACGGAGGAGGCAGAGCTGCCCAGGGCCCCAGGACCCCACCTTGAGCTCCACGCTTCCCCCTTGCTCCGGCAGTTTCTGCACAGCCCAGCCAGGCTCAGCGGGGGCCTGGCAGAGGCTGGCAGGGTGCGTGCTCCCTGCGGCCACTCCCAGCCCGAAGCCCAGTGAGCCCCTGAGCCTCTACCATAGCCTCCGACCCGCCCTGGGGGGGCTTCCCTCCGGGGCCCCAGGACCGAGGCGGGTGCCAACCTCCTTGCACACCTGAGGCAGGACCGAGAAGAAAGGGCATCTTTGGAGACCTGTGGGAGGTTTCTGTTTCCTCAGCTCCATCAGTAGGCCCAATTCTTGCAAAGGGAAGAAAGGTTGGGAAGAGGCCCGCCAAGCGGCACGGACATGGGAGTGGCACGGGGGCCGGTCGCTGCTTCTGGAGGACGGAACATGGACAGACGCACCTGCTTCTCCCACAGGCCCGCCCGTCCGCATGAGTCTGCAGGCCTGACTCGGAGCCCCTGAGGGATCCTCCCCCCTCGGCCGTTCTTTCTTTTATTAGGAGCCAAAATGTTCTCAGCCCTCTGCTCCTTGATTCTTGGAGAAGACAGGGCCAGGTGGGCAACAGGACCGGTTGCTGTTCAGGATTGGCCTGAGGGCTCCAGAAGGGCCCTGTTGCAGCCCTCTCGTCACTATCTCCCTCATTCAGCGGCTCATCCCGGCAGCCCAAAGATCACACACAGGAGTCTCAGCAATCAGCCGTGTCCGTAAAACCCAATGTACTGCCTCTCTGCCCCCACCACCCTTCACTCTGTACCCCAGACGGAAACGATACCCAGTCGGAATAAACACAGGTTTTATTCTGTCACCTGCGTGCGTCCATCTGACGGTGTGCGCGTCTGCTCCGGAGTCTGGGTTCCCACCATGGGGGGAAAACAGCCACGACCTCCGCATGCCCCGTTTTCCTGGCAATAGCAGGGCTGGAAGGCTCTGAAAGGCCACCCCTTCTTCCACCATCTTGGCTGGGAAACAGAGGCCCTGCACACTTGCTCCCCTCCCCCCTTCCCCAGCCCATACATACACTGCTTCCCCTCTACCTCTGGTCTTTCTCGGACATCATCCTCGAGTGGAATCTGACCAGAATCCTGCTCCAGAGTGGGAAAGCAGCCCGGTCAGGCCTGGGAAGGAGGGGGGGTCTCACCGCAGGAGAACTCTAGCGGCCAAGATGGCTGGGCCCTCTCCCCTGCTCAGACCAGGTGCTGTGTGCAGAGCAGGGGCTCCTGGGAAGGGGAGTGCCTGGAGATTGGCCTGGAAAACCGGAATGACTTAGTGCAGGGCCCTTTGCACTCTTTCAAAAAGTACTGAGCACCTGTTGCACTCAGGTGAGGTCTCATGGGGTCATGCTCGCAGGGAACTGACCCTGTAGAATGAGGAGACAGAGAGACCATGAATAGACAGGAAAAACCAGATCAGGAGTAAGGGCAATGCACCTGACTAGGCCACTCTCCCACTCTAGGGGAGGAGTCTTCAAATATGGTGATGTGACAATAACAGGTGATTGCCTTAGAGGACGTGGCCAAGGTAAACCTCTCCAAGGGGGAAAAACTCACCTAGGATCTAAATAACAAAGAGTCACATATGTGAAAATCCAGGGGAGGTGCACGCTAGGCAGAGGGAAGAGCCCACACAAAAATCCAGAGATGGGGATCAGTTTAGCTCCTGAATTTCCTGGATACCCCTCCATCCACCTGCCTCCCCCTACATCCTGCCCCCCACAAGGTTATGTGGGAACTTGTCCACACGTTGCTTCAGTTGAGCAGGTAGGCTCCTAGCCTCCCGCCAGCCCTGGATTCAGCCCTCTACACCTGTCACAGCTCCGGTATTACCTGCTCTTCTCATATGGTGAGTTCCCCTGGGGCAGCAGAGCTCTGAACCGGAAAGAGCCAGTCCCGTGGAAGACAGTGGTGTGTGGGAGCAATTAAGATAGCAGATCTACCCACTTGGGACTAAAAGCTACATCCCTCTGGGTTCCTGGCCACATGTCCCTCTCCTCTGCCCTCTGTGCAATCTCACTTGATTACAGCAGCTTACAGCAGGACCGTTCTCATTTTTCTCATCTGAAAAGCGGGTGTGATTACGGTACCTCATCTTGTGAAGATGAAGCAAATTATTATGTGTACAGGGCTTGGAGCTACGCCTAGCATCTTGGAACTCAAAGATGTCCATTTGTAGTGTTATTGGTAACTATTAGTTTTAATGTATCTTTCTCAGCTCCGGGTGGAGGTCTGTCTTGTTCATCTCAGTATCACTGCTGCTTATCAAAAGTGCATAGAAGGCACGCTGTAGATGTCAAACAAGTGATGCAAAGATGAATGAAATGATGAAGTGAAGTCAGTGATTCGCCCAGCTAACATTTATCGAGCCCCTACTTCGTGCCAGGTTCCATTCAGGATGTTGAGAATAGAGATGAACAAGGCAGAATTTATCCCTGACTTCATGGAACTTGGGCTTAAAGAGGGAAGACAATATATTAGAAGGAGATAATATCAGAAGAAGATAATGTCAGATATTGTGAAGGAAATAAAAACAAGGTCAGTCCACGAGAAGAGGAATGGCCGTTACTTTAGCTTGGGTGGTCAAGGGCAAGCATCTCTGCGGAGATAACCTTAATGACTTTGGAGCCTGGCCCAACGACTGGAGGTGGCAGCCTAAGGGGACAGGCGGGTGGGCGGTGAGCACGCCTGTGGCGGCGGGCACCTAGGAGAGTAGCGGCCTCTCGGCGAGGCCTCGCCCGGAGCCCCGCACACCTGCCGCCACACCTGCCGCGGAGCCCGAGGCTCCGCCTCTCCTCCTGGCCGGGGTGGGCGGGGCTAGAATGGGGCGGGACCGGAGGCCGAACGCGCGCAACCCAGAGCCCGCCCCCGGAGCGGGGCGGGGCAGGCGGAGGGAGGGGGGGCGTCTTCCCACCGGCCGTCGCCAAGGTGATGATGACGTCACCCAGGCCGCCGGGTTCGGGACGTTCTGGCGGCCGCCGCCGTTGCCCGGAAACGCCGGGCAGGCGCGCAGCCAGAGGCCGGCTCCTCGCGGCAGACGCTGGACGCCAGGACGCGCCGTCCCGGCCGGCCCTCGCTCGGAGCCTCCCTCCGGGATTCCTGGCGGGTGCGGGTTCCGGTCCTCACCCAAGTCGCGGCCCCACCCGGGGCCGACCTGCGGGGCAGGGCGCCTCCTCCCTTCTCGTCACTGCCCTTCGCTGCCAGCACCCTGCCTTGGGCCACCTCATTCCCCCCTTTCCCGAGCCACTGCCGTAGGCTGCCAAGTGGTCTTCCTTGCTTCCCCCTGTCTGTCCTAACAATCTGTCATCCACCCGGCAGCCAAAACTCTCGAGAGTTTACCAGATAGAGTCGCTTTCCCGTAAATACCCTCCAGTGGCTTCCCAGCTCATTCAGTCTTAAATCTAAGTCTTCTCTGCCTTTAGGACCAAAATGACTGTCTCTCTGTCTTCCTGTCCCAACTCCTTTACCCCCACTCTCCTCCTTACCCACAGCTCCCTAGTTA